AAAAAAGAAAAAAAGAAAAAAAAAGGGAGTTTATTCCTAAGAGGAGAGGAACTATTTAACCCTCACAACTATGTGACAGTTTGTCTGTCCCTCCTCTTTCCTATGCACTGCTTCTAATTTGTGTTGAGTTGGGAGTTTAATGTAGAAATTCATTATCTTCAGTCTTGTTGGACCCCAAATCTGGGGGTCTCGAGTGGACGTCCCAAGAACCCAGACTCCAGTCCAGTTGACGCAAATGCAAGAGGATTTACTAAAGCTTCTATATAGAAGGGCAAACTCTGCTCCTAAGAGCAAGAGCCACATCTTACTGCAGCCCCATAAGGGCTTATAAAGGAAAAACCCACAAACCCCACAAGATTACAATTCCCATACAATTTTGTTTCACAAGATCATGGTCTGGGTATAGAGTGATCACAGAGAGGGTACAGTTATGTCAACAGGTACATTCTTCCTGAAACCTCAAGGGGGGATATCAGGGCAGGAGTGGAGTTTACACAAAGGTCACAGTGGTCCTTCCTGGAACACCTGCAACTATCCCAGTCACAGTTGAGTACATCTCTTAACAGAAATCTTTTTACATTGTTATATGGTTGCAGGAGAGATTGAACAATGGCTAAGTCAGGTTGCCTTTGGAACTAGATTTTTAGTTTCTCATTTCCTGGTGCTTGAAGTTTCTCTTTTCCTGAGGCTTGGGGGTGTAAGCCTTAAGGGCTAGGGTCTTTCAGTCTGAGACTCTGATTTTACCTATCATCTATCATCTTGCTATCAAGTTGTAGAAGCTTACTCTCTCTCTCTCTCTCCCATCTCCCTCTCCTTCTCCCTCTCCATCTTCCTCTCCTTTTCTCTCTCTCCCTCATTTTCCCTCTTTGTGTACACATGTTACATGTGAAAGCCAAAGATCTATTCCCAATCCTCCTCCATAATTCTGCACCATATTCTTTGAGACATGGTCTCCCCCTGAACCTTGAGCTCATGGATGAGGCTAGCCTGGCTACCCAATGAATTTCAAGGATCTGCCTACACATTCTTCCTCAGTCTGGTTGTACAGCACAGTGCTGCATCTAGCTTTTACATCAGTGCTCAGGATTCCAGCTCAGGTATTCATGCTTATGCAGCAGTCATGTTACTGGCTCATCTATGCCCCTACTCCCCACAGACTGCATTTCTTAAATTTAAGATTTAGAGCCATAATCAGACTTTCAGAATTCATCCCTGTGCTGCGTGTTTAGATATTTGGTGATAAGGGGGATTATTAATGTTTCTAGGGCTAAAATTTGAAATCAAACACTTGATTAAGATTATGTATAGAGATTATATACAACTAATGAGGAAAAAATAAATAGTGGTAACCTAGGTTCATCAGTGGAACTGCTTCTTAGCTAAAGGAACCAAAGAGAATTGATTACTCCTGATCAAGAAAGAGCATAATTTGGGGAAAGGGCTAAATAATTCACAAAAAGAAAAAACAAAAGCAAACATTTTAATGTTAAAATTTATTCATAAACAAAAATAGGTTAACCAAATATAATAAAAATTAAGATTAGATAAATTTTTAAGAAACCAAATAACAAAAATTAATTATTATGCAAACTGCATAGAACGTAGGGATCAACTTAGTGCGATGATTCATTGTCTCCACTTGTCACTTTTTAGGAACAGGCTCGACAACTAAATGAGAGATTTCAGCAAGAAAATAGAAGACTGCAAGATGAGATAAAGATTCTCAATGAAAGGGAAGCCTCACGCAAATGTGTCGTAAGCTAAACGACTAAAGAATACTCCTGTCCTGACATTTAAAACAGATGAATAGCATGTAGAAATGGGAACAAGAGTCACTTCAGGTGATAATAATTGTGTCTTGTATCAGAAAACTAAAAATCTGCAAAGTCATGTAGTGTGATCATTGAAATCATATTTATCTTCCTATAAGACTGAGGACCAAGAATCTCCAAGAGGCAAGTGGGCACTGAGCATATTCTTAAATATTGGCACATAATTAGGAAACCAGTTCGCCAGTGTTGTGATATTCTGAAGGACAGGAATAGCCAGCCTTATTCCTTACCGGAGACAATGTAAAGTTCTCCATTCTATCAATAACTGCTCAAATCATATGATTTGGTTAACCCTATCAAGATATTCCATTATGTATCAAGACACCCGCTTGGAGCTCTAGAGTCCCCATAAATGATATATCCACAGGAGATGGAATAAGCCATTGGCATGACAAGGAGATAAATCCACATATCCATGGGTGAAGAAGGAAATACTTCAGTTCATGTAGATTGAAAATGTAGCAGGACATTTCCAATCATTAATAGTGGATAGTGATTACATAACATGATGACAACTAAGCATATTGTAGAGTAGTAGTTTTAAAGATGGACTTGAAGTGATTGTGTAATCAGTAGATATCAAAGGAATTTTAATGATTTATCTGTAACCATAACTTACACTACTCTTTTCTTATTATTAGCACCTGAGCTTGAAATCCTGTTGATTTTCCCCAAGCAGAATAAAGGTTCTTTCTTCATGTTTGACCATCTCTTAGTATTCTGGAGTATATATAAACTCTATCCCAACTGCCAAAAGCACAAAGGAACTGGTGAAGATCACGAAAAAATTTTAAAAACATTGAGATGGTAAAGTGTTTGCTGTGCTAACATGACAACCTAAATTCAGACCCCAGCACCCACATAACAAACCAGACACGGGGTGCACAGCCATAAGACTAACACTGAGGGTGGGGCAGGGGTAGACAGGAGGATCCCTGGGGATACCAGTCAGTCAGCCTAGCCAACAGATAAGTTCTGGCTTCACTGAGAGAGCCTTTCTCAAAAATAAGGTGGAAAGCAAATGGAATCATGATGTTTGCTCAAAGTGGTTGCAATCAGAGATAACCATATTAAGCAAATTAAGTCAGTCTCATAAAGACAAATACATGTTTTCTATTTTGTGATGTACAGCTTCTGACTGCTGATGGAGACATAAAATTACACACACACACACACACACACACACACACACACACACACACACGGCATGAATGTCAAAGTGAAACTGTCTAAGGAAAAAAAGTGGAATAATGGAAGGGGGAGGCATGAAAAGAAGGATAGAAGCATGGGAGTATGCTAAACATACAAGATATGCTTATCTGAAAATATGCTCTTATGACACAGCACCATGCATAAGGAATATAAGCAATGAAAATTATAAAAAACAATTTGTGATCAATGAAGGACATTTTTGTTTGTTTGTTTGTTTTTGTTTTTGTTTTTAGAGACAGGGTTTCTCTGTGTAGCTTTTGTGCCTTTCCTGGAACTCACTTGGTAGCCCAGGCTGGTCTCGAACTCACAGAGATCCGCCTGGCTCTGCCTCCCGAGTGCTGGGATTAAAGGTGTGCGCCACCACCGCCCGGTGGACATTTTTAAAATAAGCATTCTGACAACTTTATGTGGATAACTTTGACAATTCAGTTAAGTCAACTAGCATCTCAAGGAAAGCATAAAGCACTAATAATGAAGGAGGGAGTCTGTGGATCAAGTCAGAGTTTATTAATGAGCAAAATCAGAATGCTACACTCATGATACAAAATGAAGCTGCCACACAATTGCAAGTACAGCTGCCACCACCTCTTCATTCCAGTGAGGAATGGTGACCTTGAACCAAGCCACAGCCACTTGCTCTGTAGCTTGGTGGTAGCTCCCACTATCTGAGAGAGTACCTCAGCCCTCCCAGGCCTCTTATTGAGTCACATCTCTCCAGAGAAGATCACATCCATTGAGCCAAGCTGCTCCTTACATTTGACTAGTGGGCCGGTGTCAATAATTCTCGTAACATTTCCCCCTTTTTGTCTAATTAAGAAGGAAGGTTCTAATCCTAACATAATAAAACTATATACAATAAAAACTATTATCAAAGGGAACTCCCACCCAGCTGCTGGCCATCAGGGAACACTCCTGTGGGCAGACTCCTCCACTAACTTCCCACCAGATCCTGCAGTCTACAAGATCCATGCCCTACCCCAAACCTACCCATCCCCCTGAGATGCCAGTGGCTTCCTGAGACACAGAATCTGCCGTCTGTCATTGGACCAAAAGCAGCTTCCTGAGACACAGAATCATCCAGCTCAGATTGGACCAAGAGCCCTGATAAGACCAAGAGCAAACCCCTGAGACATAGAATCAGCCAGGTTGGATTTGTCCAAAAGCATCTCCCTGAGACAGAGAATCTACCAGCTCCAATTAGACCAAGAACTAAGATTAGACACAGAGTGGCCCTCTGAGACCAGACACAGCAAGCACACATCAGACCAAGAACAGCTCACTCAGTCACAGGCACCTCTTACACATATTGGGGGAAGAGATGGGTAGATGCCAGTGCAAAAATACATACAACAACATAAAGAGTAATATGGCATCACAAGAACCTAGCATTTCTACAACAGCAAGACCTGAACATCACAACATAGAAGAAGCAGAATAAACTGACTTTAAAAATAACTTTATGGAGATGATAGAGACCTTTAAAGAGGAAATGAAAAATTCCCTTAAAGAAATTGAGAAAAGACAAACAAAAAATGGGAAGAAATTAATAAACCCCTTAAATAAAGCCAGGAAAATCAAGAAAAATCAATTAAACATGTGAAGGAAATAGTTCAAGACCTGAAAATTGAAATAGAAACAATGAAGAAGACACAAACAGAAAGAATGCTGGAAATAGAATATAAAAGTAAATAAACAGGAACTACAGATGCAAGCATAACCAACAGAATACAAGAGATGGAAGACAGAATCTCTGGTGTAGAGAATACAATAGAGGAAATAGATTTGTCAGTCAAAGAAAATACCAAAGGCAAAAAAAAAATGTCCAGGAAATCTGGGACACCATGAAAAGTTCAAACCTAAGAATAATATGAATAGAGGAAGGAGAAGAATACCAACTGAAAGGCACACAAAATGTAATCAACAAAATCATGGAAGAAAACTTTCCCAACTTAAGGAAGAAAATACCTATGAAGATACAAGAAGCTTGTAGAACACCAAATAGACTAGACCCCCCCCCAAAAAAGCCCCCTTGCCACATAGTAATTAAACCACTAAACATACAAAATAAAGAATATTAAGAGCAGCAAATGAAAAGGCCAAGTGACTTATAAAGGCAAACCCATCAGAATAACACCTGACTTCTCAGTGGAGACTCTGAAAGCCAGAAGGTCCTGGACAGACATAATGCAGACATTAAGAGACCACAGAAGCCAGTTCAGAATACTATACCCAACAAAACTTTCAATCACCACAGACGAAGTGAACAAGACATTCCAAGACAAAATCAGATTTAAACAATATCAATCCACAAATCCAGCCCTATAGAAAGCACTAGAAGGAAAATTCCAACCTAAGGAAGTCAGATGCACCCATGAAAACACAGGCAATAGATAAACCCACAGCAGCAAATACCAAAGAAGGGAAATACACACAAACTACCACCAAAAGATAACAGGAATTAACAATCACTGGTCATTAATATTCCTTAATATTAATGGATTCAATGTGCCTATAAAAAGACACAGGCTAACAGAATGAATGTGAAATCAGGATTCATCCTTCTGCTACATATAAGAAACATACCTCAACTTCAAAGACAGACACTATCTCAGAGCAAAAAGCTGTGGAAAGATTTTCTAATCAAATGGACCTACAGAGACAAATGAACCAAGCTAGTAAGAACTCAAGAAATTTAGACCAACACTTGTGGAGCCCCCATGGGATTGAACTAGGCCCTCTACATAAGTGAGACAGTTGTGTGGTTTGATCTGCTCAAGGGGCCCCCTGGTGGTAGGATCAAGATCCATCCCTACTACATGACCTGGCTTTCTGGAGCCTACTACCTATGATGAGACACCTTGTACAGCCTTGAGGCAGGCGGGAGAGGCTTGGACCTGCCTCTACCAAATGGACCAGGCTCTGCTGACTCCCCATGGGAGACCTTACCTTCTTGTCGAAGGAAATTGGGTGTTGGTGAGTAGGGTGAGGCTGGAGGGGTGGGAAGAGGGAAGAGGGAGATCTGTGATTGGTATGTAAGATGAATAAAAAATTATTAATAAAAAAGTTACTTAAAAAACCATTATCAAATATTGTCTAGAAAAAAATGAATGGTAATAACCTTAAGAAAAATGAAACTACATATAAGAACAATTATCATGTAAGAAACACATTCTAGATGTGTTTCAGACCATAGGTAATAGGCAAATATGTAGAGATTACTCCAATCCTTTCCGAAGAATGTAAGTTTCATGCCTAATTTGTTTTTTGCTAAGATTTGGGATGATTGTAATTGTAACTATCTAGTCTTCAATCCCATCAAAGACCTGAGAAGGAAAATAATATTGCCAGAGTAAGCAGAAAGTACAAGCAAGCAAATATGTAAGAAACAATAGAAACAGTTGGCCACCCAAGGTTTCTCTGCAGTGTTGGGGAATTCAACTTTGGCTCACAGGTCTAGAATAACTGACAGCCCCTTTTCAGAAGCAGGAAAATTTGAAGGACTGTCCTACCCTGTCTTGGCAAATTTTGGGAGTTGCTTTTCTTTGTGTCCTGCTTGTTCATATTTGACAGTGTACTTACTGTCAGCAGTGGAGGAAGGGGCAATTTCTTGCTCAAATAGGCCAGTTTTGTCATAAAGAAAACAAAATACATATGGACTCTTCAGTGCCCATCATCTTCTCAGGAGTATATAAGTGTTGCCAGGAGCAGATATGTCCCACATCCAAAATTCTATGTTACTAAAACATTTTAAATGCCATATTCTATAGGAGTTTGAAGTGTTTGAAGATTACCTGTTTATTTGGACATATGTCTGCATGACTAAAAACCTAACTAACATTACTATAAGTTTGACAAATATGGGTAACTATTAACCTGTAATTTTTTGTTATCCTATAAGCTATAAGGACTAAAACTTCACACAATAAATATAAACAAGTATAGGTAATAACTTAAGCAAAAATAGAAAGATGTATAGTATAAGGACAATATCCTCAAAATTGTGAAAATATACAAAAATATCTTACCCAGAGATAGAAATGTATATACAGTATGGCAAAATAACTTTAATATACAAAAACACATTAAATAGAAGTAGAAACATATATATAGTATATCTTGGTTTCCATTTTGAGGTCAATATGCCTTTAAATTATATAGGCTGATTTAATTAAGTAGTTCTTTTTCTACTATCAAATGTCTCTCCATAGCTGCCATTCCTTTCTCATTAGCATTTAGGAAATTTAAAGTTCATAAGGCATTATGCAATCTATTTCTAAAGTTTTTAATTATCCCTTTCTGTTTATTTAGCAACTCTTTTAAAGTGCAATTAGATCTTTCTATAACTGCTTGTCCTGCTGGTTTTTGTGGTATACCAGTAATGTGCTTTATATTGTAATATACAAAAAGCTGTTTCATTTTACTAGAGACATATGCTGGGGCATTGTCAGTCTT